AAAGCCAAAAGCGGCGCCGACGCGCTGCGGGAGACAACCGGATGACGCGTGTCGCACGCGTCAAAACTGTGCGCCCCGCGTTCCGATTTGCTCTCGACGACCACCCTCTCGATCCGTGACTCGTAGAGGAGGTTCGGGTACTCTCGCGAAGGCACCCAACACAGACTAGTTTGGACCAATGCCACAGTATGCACTCCACACGCGACGGAGGCGGAACGACTCGAGTCCGGAGGCAGGCCATAGTCCCGGGCCTGCTCATGACGGAGGCGCTGCAGGTGGCAAGTATATAAGGCAGCAGGCTTTTGTCGGACCGCATTCCAACTCGAATCGTATAGACTGTCGTCCGTAGAACCTGTTCAGACTCCCGGCCGTACATCCGACATGTCTACTTCACCGACGCTGCCCGCTGAAGGCCGGGCTGGCTCTTCCAAGTCCGGCTCCTCCGGCTCACTTCAACGAGGAAAAGCGTGTCTTAACTGTCGGTTCGCATCCTATTTCTTTCTTACTGATGTCGACAGCGTATACTCACAATGCTATTGTATCTTACGTGATTCAGACGCAGAAAGATGGTACGTGCAAACAGGCGACTTCGACAAGATTACGCGTGTATCAAAAGGCTCACTTACACGTTCTCCCCACAGAAATGCGACGGCATACGTCCAACCTGCGGTCCGTGCAGCCACGCAGGCCGCGCCGAAGACTGCGAGTATGCAGACGCACAGGGTCGCTCCCGCACGCAGACCCTCCTCGATACGATCAAACGCCTAGAAACGCGCATACAAGAACTCGAGAACCCAGAAAGCACCGCACCGAACGTCCTGCTGTTTGACCCTCACAGCACTGCTCAACTTCAAGCCTCGCCCGGGCACTCCCCGACGGGCCCATCGAGCCCCGCCGAGAGTGAGTCGTACTGGTCTCCCGCGTACCCGTCTTCGTGGCAGATTACCGACCCAACGCAACTCGCAGGTTCGCGAGGCGGCCCGCCGACTACGATCTGGGACGCGGAAGACCTGCCGCCCGAGATCGCGTTCGAACTGTCCGTTGAGCACCCTCCTACATTGTTATCACCTGTGGCGCGGCCCCGGGCCGCATAGTACTGACTTTGTTTGAACTTCTGCACAGCATCGAGATTTTCTTCCAGAATGTCGGGCATGTTCCCTGGTTTCTGCACGAGGAGCGCTTCCGGGCGAGCGCCGCACTGCCGCCGGGAAACTTCGACCGCCCGGTCCCGGCGCTTCTCACCGCGGTGCACCTCTGGGGCATCAAGTTCGCAGACTCGGACGACCTGTCCCTGCACGCGCCCGGCATCCTCGCGCAGGCGCTCAGCCAGATCGGGCACGCGCTCGCGGGCGCGCCGTCGCATAGTGTCGTGCAGGTCATCCAGGCGCACGTCCTCCTCAGCACGTACCTCTACCACGTCGGCCGCTTCGTCGAGGGCAGCGTGCACACGGACGCCGCGGCCGCACTCGCGGTGCACTGTCACCTGCACAAGCTGCGCTCGGCGCAGCCCACGCCGCCGCGGGCGACGTATATGGACCCGATATGCGTCGTGCTGCCTGAGCCGCGGGACCAGATCGAAGAGGGGGAAAGGATTAACGCGTTTTGGGTCAGTTTCGCGCAGGATAGGGTGTGGGCGGTCGTGCTGGGCGTGCCGACGGCTATATTTGATGTGGATGGGGTCACGCAGATCGATACGCCGTGGCCGTTGGAGATGGAGGTGTACGAACGGGTGCGTTATCTCCTCGTTTTTCATCTTGATATGCATATACTGACGGGACGACAGGGCTGGTTGCACCCTGAATTGAGAACGAGTGGCACATTGAAGGCGTTTCTCAACGGATTGACTACGGGCTGGCCATGGGAGAACGACAGCACCCTAACCCGCCTCGCAAAGGGCTCCGCCCTCCTCGAACGCGCCACGCGCCTCGCCGCATCCTGGCGCCCCGACCTCCCCGACGCGACCGGGTTCTACAACGACTTTCTCGCGCTCGACGCGCGCATCGAGGAGTTCAAAACCAGTTTATCCCCCATCTCAACCTTGTCCACTATGCCAGTGCCGGACCGGCAAAGGCTGCACGCGACGCACTGTATAGCGCAGTGCGCGAGCATACAGCTGCATGCGGCGTTTTCGGGCCAGAACTCGGGATCGAGGACGAAGTGTCTGGAGGCGGGGTTGGCGATTATTAGGACGGCTGCTGCTGCGCGTGTTACAGAGTTCAGCTTTCTCGACCACGGTGTTGCGGTACGTTCCCTCCCATTCACTATGTCCGACAAAGGTCGTTCTGACGTTCGATGTGTACAGGCGATGTGGGCAGCCGTGTGCCGCGTCCTGATCAACGAGATCATCACCGTGCGCTCGCTCTACGTCGACCCGACCGCGGTCCAGATGCCCGGGAGGGAGGCAGAGCTGTTCGCGGCGCTGGACGAGCTGCAGGCTGCGATGGCGCATTTCGCGCCGACTTCCGCTTTGATGAGTCCGTACTTTCTCTCTTCCCGTATACATTTACTGCGATGATGCTGACGGAGTGGATGCAGATTATCAGCTTGGGCGCATTCAGCAGGAGCGCATTGCCGTTTGACGCATACCATATGGACGACGTTGGATACCCACTACTCATACTCATTTAGACTAGTGCACGCATACAGGGCGATTGATGATCCTGAGGATAACTCATAGATGTACATATACTTGCTACTATTGCCATTTCCCACTCTTTACACCACGCCGGGTGTCTGCGCGTGTTCGTTCCGACGCGTCGCAGTCTTCCTAGCCACCACTTCTCTCCAAAAGACACCCGGTATGGGCTGCGAGAGCTGCGTATGCCCCCAAAGCGAGCTCTCGCCTCTTTGAGTGATGCGGCGCGCTCTCTGCTGACAGAAACAGTGGCACGCGTCTCGGCGGGCCCGAGCATTGTCTCTTCCCCGCTACGCCTCGTTGGGTGTCTCTATGCGCGTTCGTGCCGACGCGCTGTCTTAGTCTACTGACCTCTGGGGGTCGCCACTCACACCATGCCTCCTAAGAGACACACCCGAGAGCACTGCGTATGCCTCCGAAGCGCGCGCTTGCCTTTCTGAGAGGTGTCGGCGCGCCGCTGAAGCAGTACGCGTTTCGATGGGCTCGGACCCTGCATCTCCCCCGCCAGCGCACTTTGCATTTCTAGCTATCAATCCCATCCCTCTCCACGCCTCAAGGCCTCAAATCCTCAAGGCCTCAAGCACCATAGAGGGCAGTAGAGGGCTGAAACTCGAGAAGGGATCAGCGGTATGAGTCGCGCGAGAAAAGCGCACGTGGCGGCGAAATCGAACACGGTCACGGGCCTCGGGTACGTGCCGAAGGCGCTCGCGGGATGCGTTGGTTCTGCACGACCACAACCGCCTCGGCTCGCCTCAGGCCAGAGTGCACCTCCGCACTATTTCTGCTCTCGCTCACGACAGCGCCTGGCACATACCCCCTGATCTATAATACCTGAAGCACTCGACCGGGCCACGACCACGAACACTAGACGAGCTTCGCAACGATGTCATCGGCCTCGCTCTCGACGGCGGAGTTTTTGAGCCAGTACGAGCCGCTGGATATTGTGGGGAACGGCTCGTTTGGGGTTATCAGGAAGGTCAGGCGGAAGGTCGACGGCGCCGTACGTGCTCTCTCTACTCTCTTGCCACCCGTTCTCTAGTCGTCACTCACTCACTCGCCGCGTCGCACAGATCTTCGCGCGGAAAGAGCTCAACTTTGAGCGGATGACGGAGCGCGATCGTAAGCAGATTGTTGCGGAGGTGTACGTCGTTGTGGCTCATGCTGTGGTCGTATGTGTATGTGCTGACGAGTAGTGGACAGGAATATATTGAAGGATTTGCACCACGACCACATCGTGCGCTACCACGACCGGCACGTCGACCGCGACCAGGGCATCCTCTACATCCTCATGGAGTTCTGCGGCGGCGGCGACCTCTCCTCCGTCATCAAGTCCGCGCAGCGCACCGGGCGCCCCATCGCAGAAGAGACGATCTGGAACTACTTTATGCAGATCCTGCTGGCGCTGCAGCATTGCCATCATCCGAATGGGCATGCAAGGTCGAGCAGCAGTGCGTCGGATTCGGGGGAGGGGGGCAAGGAGCGGAGGCCGCAAATTCTGCATCGCGATTTGAAGCCGGATAATGGTGCGTATTCGTCCTTGTGGGCTATATGCTATGCGTGTACTTACTTGTGGTGTAGTGTTCCTCGACGAGATGAACGCCGTTAAGCTCGGTGACTTTGGCCTGTCCAAAGCACTAACACAAGCAACGCTCGCCGTCACATACGTCGGGGTAGGTTCCCAACAAACATACCATTCAAATGTCGACTAAACGCATTACAGACACCATACTACATGTCGCCCGAAGTGATCCAAGAGAAAGCGTACGACTCCAAATCGGACATCTGGTCCCTCGGCTGCCTCATCTACGAGCTCTGCGCGTTGCACCCGCCCTTCCACGAGGCAAAGACGCACGCGCAATTACACATGTGCATCCAGTGCGTGTCACCCACACCCCCCAAATTCCAATCCTTTCCCGCGGCTGATTGCGACGTCTAGGAACGGACGCATCCCGCCGTTACCGCGCGGCTACAGCCCGGCGCTGTGGAACTGCATCAAGGCGATGCTCAATATCAACGTGCGTGTGCTCTTACTCGTATCCGTTCTGGGAGGAATACTGAGGATGTCGTAGCCCGCTATGCGTCCGTCCGCGACACAGCTGCTCCAGAACGAGCGCATAGACCTCGCGCGCCAGATCTCCAACGCACACACCATGTACGCCTCTCCCTCTCCCTCTCCCTCTCGCTCAACTTTACCCTCAATAACATACTGACGCGCGCGACGCAGGTTCGAAGAAGTCAAAGCGCACCGCGCGCGAATCCTCCAACGCGAGCGCGAAGTCGCCGCGCGCGAAGCGCACCTCGCGCAGCTCGAATCGCACCACGCCGCCGAGCTCGCCAAACGCGACGCCGAGATCCGCGAGCTCATGGCGCAGCTCGCCCAAGCCCGCGAAGCCGTCCCCCTTGCCATCGCCGCGCGCGAAGAAGAACTCCGCGTCTTAGTGCTGCAGAAGGAGGCGGACGTCGCGGCGCGCATGGAGGCGCGCGAGCAGGAGATTCTCGCGGCGATCTTGGCGCGGGAGGCGGAGATCGAGGTCGTGTTTAGTACGCGGGTCGCGCAGGAGCGCGAGGCGGCGGAACAGGAGGCGGAGGAGAGGCTGAGCGAGGAGTGGGCGCGGGTGGAGGGGATGAGGGAGGAGGTTGAGAGGGGGTGGCGGGCGTTGGAGGAGGCGCAGCGGAAGAGTATGTCTCTCTCTTCATCCATTATCATCTTCAAGTACTGATATCCTTGGCAGGTCGAAAGGAGAAGGCGCCGTTGGAGGAGGTCAAGAACGTCCTCCAGCCCCTCCCCACAATGTCCAAAGACCCCGCACCACCCAAACGGCGCCAACCAAGAGCACCAGCATACGAAACGCCCCTCCAACGCGCGCCCAAGCCCGTCTTCCCCCTCGCGAGCGCGATGAAAGGCGTAGTCCTGACAGCCAGCGGCGAAGCGCTCGCGACGCCCGCGCCCGCGCTGGACAACGAGCTGTCGCGGTTCTTCGCGCCGTCGCCCAAGACGAAGTCTGGGCTGGGGTTTGCGCGGATATTTGACCATACGGCCAAGGGAGATAGCGATGAGGAGGAGGAAGAGGGGGAGGAGGAGGAGGTCGAGAGGGCGTTGGAGAAGACGCCGCAGCCCCTACCCGCTCCTGTTCCCATCCCTGTTCAGGCGAAGGACGCGCCGCGGTCACCGAGTAAGAAGATGACCAAGTCCAACTCGACGAACTCCGTCGCGTCCTCATCCACATCCTCTGCTGAATCGGGGTCGTCTTCGCGCGGATCCCAAGACGCGAACGGGAAACTCGGCGCGCCTGCGCCGTCCACGCGTCTGCGCCGGCCGTCAATCGTGCGGGGCTCGTCGACGCGGCCTGCCGTCGTCGCCGAGGAGAAGACTGAGCGCATAACGAGCAGTAGGACGAACGGCGGCCGGACGACGTCTGCCAAATCCACCGGCACATCATCATCGTCAGATACAGCAGGAGGCCGCCCACAAACGACGCGCTCAGCGTCCGTCCCCGCCGCATCATCTTCCTCGGGTGTACCGCATACGCCGCCGGTGTACGACCTGGACGACGAGTCGAACCTCCCCTCGCCCTTCCTCAAGAAGATCGAGCGCAAACCCGCTGCACCTGAACGTGCGACCACACTTCCGCCCAGCCAATCCGCACCCACTCTCGCAGGCGCCGGAGGTGGAATTGGTGCTGGTGTAGGAGTGGGTGGGGCGAGAGCGACGACGAAGCGCCCGAGCTCGGGCAATATGCTCCGGGCGTTTGCGGCTGCTAACAACGCCAAAGGCGCTGGTACCAAGACGAACGGTACGACTGCTGCGACGAAAGGCGTGGCGAGGACGAGGACAGGCGCGGGGGAGGAGGCGCGCAAGGCTTTGCTACGGACCTAGCACGGTCTCGTGTGTATAGTTTTCGCTGTTCCGTGTTGTATTCTTGCGCATTATTTCGTTGTTTCTGTTTATACCTGCATGCATGCATAGGATCATTCAAGTTATGGCCATTCACGTTCACGTTCTACTCATGATGTATACCTGGACATTTCATGTTATGATATTTCATGATCATGATCATGATGTTTTGTCACCACGCGTTCGAGCTCGTTTGACTTGAAGCTTGAAGGAGACGCCTGTGAGGTGAGAAAAAAGACTATGAATTGACTACGGTGATATAAGGTACAAGATACTGAGCATGAGATCTAAGCTAAGGTACTCTACGATAGTGTGTGGGAAGAATAGAGGTGGGGATAATGTGGCCAAGCGTCATCGAGGAGGCAGAAGTCCGAATTAAGCTACATGGTACGCGAGCGCTTGACGGGCTTCGCAGCGTTCTCCGCGGGTTTGTCCGCAGGCGTAGGTGTGGTATCGGCATAGTCCTCTGTGGGTGTAGCCTCTCGCGAATGTTCTTCGGGTTGACGACTCAGGTCTTTGTCGCTGGCGCTTGCTTCGCGCTTCCGCTTCTGTTGCGTTACGGCTGTCGGTTCAACCTCGGCTTGTGGCGTTTCCGGAGGATCGGGAGACTTGTCCGCCGGTGCTGGACAGCGGTGCTCGAGGAAGGCGCTATGCGTCTCCCGAGATTCTTCATCTGCGTCGATCATGTCGCGCAGTGCAATCGGATCAAATGGCAAGGAAGTGTCTTTCCTGAGTGCAGCCACGATGAAGGCTCTGTGAAAATATGAGCGTTGTGGTAGGGGCGAACCAAGGCCAAACCCACATGATAGCGCCCTCCCCGTCGAAGTACCCACGCATACGCTCCATAGGAAACATAGTTCCGAACGTCTTCAAGATCTCAGCAGCAGTATATCCATGATACCACAGCATATACGCGTCGAACTCGAACTTGCTCAATCTGGGATTATTTCGCTCGAGGTAGTACTTTCCGGGCGGTATCGTTGGAGGAGGTGCGGCGCGAGGCTCGATGTTGATGGTATACTTGGATGGGTCGAGTGTAGGGTCGTTCTGCTCCTGTAGAGTCATGAGACGCATGTATACTTCATACGCACAGTACGCGTCGCTCGCAGCGTCTACCGCACACCATCAGCAAGTCATATCTCAAAGCGGATGAGGAACGGCGCACATTCTCGCTGAGCTTGAGTCAAAGGGTTCAACTCCCAGTTGCTCACGCGGACAGGTCCCTTCGGTAGCGTACGGTCGAGATAGTACAGCACTATCTGCGCGAGCGTGACGTTGCGTCGTGGAGGGTGTAATGCGAGGAAGCCTGGATCTATCTGGCGCGCTAGGGGCATCAGGTTGATCAAGCTCTTGGGGAGTATACCGTAGTCGTCGCGAAGCTTGGCTCCGTCAGCTATCGTAGTGTCAGCTCAAGATGCGAGCAAATGGTAGGAGATGCGCGCACCCTCAGTGTAGTGGCCTATCTTTTTAATTGAGGGGTCTTCGAGGATGGTCTGAGGTCTCAACTATCAGAAGAGCAGCACGGCGCGACTGTAGGTCAAGGTACCTTTAGCTTCTCCGGGAACACTACGTCGGGGATTAGACTGAAGTAGGCTTGACAGAGCTCAAGCACATACCAGTGAAAGCCGAGAGTTGTATGAGCAAGATTCTGGAAGCATTGCTGAGTTGCACCAACGCGGTACGGCCCGGAACAGGCAAAGCCTTGTACTCGCAGTCGAATCCGTACGGTCTACAGCAGTGTGAGTTCAGGTCCTATGACAGTATAAAGCCCTACTCACCCTTCAAAGTCTGTGAGAGCACCGTTGAGTTCAGTGGCTGTCCTGATGTAGTGTACGGTAGGGGAGGGGGAGTGGTCTGTATAGGAGTAGATCGGTCGGGTGGCCTGGATAGCTTGTGTGGTTGAAGCGCGCGAGAGGTTCACGGGCATCCTGAGATATACACGGCTATGGCGCAGGTGGCCTGACCCAAAGGAGTAGCGCTGTAGGTTGTCTTGGATTCGATTCTTGGTTGTGTACGGCCGCAAGTGACCGGCAGACAGAGTAGGAATAGGATGAGGCGTGTATGCTTTTTGAAGCCTCGAGAGAGCCAGTGTTGTAGATAGCAAGACGCAAAACACCCGTAGCAAATGCCGGCCAGTAGTGTCCACGGCCGATGGTGGTCGAAAGCAAGTATTGTCTCGCGGGGGAACGCCGGTCCGCGCGCTTAGGTTCGGCGCGTGCGTTCACCTGCCTCTTGCCATCACCATCACGGACTTGAAACCCAATCTATGCTATGACTCCAGACGATACCGCGCAATCTAAGCGCCCTGAGGACCTCTTCTACAATACCTATCTAGATGCTGCGAAGACCGAAGATGAGGCACGCCCAAAGAACTGGGAAGGAAGCACGACTGGTATCTTAACTTTTGTGAGTCTCGATTGCCCTTGTTCTCTGAGCAGAGCAGAGTGCTAAGGAATCATAGACCGGTCTATTTGCTGCAACTGTCGCGGCCTTCATCATCGAGAGCTATAAGACACTATCAGTCGATTCGGGGGACCAAACAACATTCCTACTCTCTCAGCTCCTTACCGCTACAGCCAACGCGTCAGCTGGTATCTCAGTGATGATAACTCCACCCGAACCCTTTTCTACCTCCGCTACTTCCATTGCTACCAATGCATTATGGTTCTCCAGTCTTCTCATTGCCCTGGTGTGCGCTTTACTATCAACATTGGTGCAAGAGTGGTCCCGCAACTACGTCCACGACATGAACACGCGTGAAGTGCTTCACGAAACGCTTCAATCTCGCGTTTACAACCACATCTACATCCGGATGGGCGTCAACCGGTATGGGATGGATCAATTCGTGTCTTGGATTGTCGCTCTGGTGCACCTAGCGGTGCTCCTCTTCGCTCTAGGTCTTCTCATCTTCCTATTCCCCATCGACCGAATAGTGGCGGGCGTATGCACGGCCGTCTTCGGTAGTTTTGTCATACTCTATGGTCTGGCCAGCCTGCTTCCGCTCCTCGACAAGAGCTGTCCTTATCGTACGCCACTGACCTACGTGAGTGCTTGCGTGTACTGGCTATACGTACACCTCTGGGACCTTGTTCAAGTGATCAAACAAGATCGACCGCGCTCGACTTCAGTCAAGAGTCATGCCAGCTTTCGCAACATCGTCTCTCGGCGATATACAGACTCTGTTATACGATGGCAGTTCCTCACTAAACGCCGTTTTGTGTTCGCTTGGGAGCACACATTCCCTCACGTCCCTGAACATTCGCGCTCGGAGGTCTTACGCGGCTTGTACTGGGTCATCACTTCGCCGCTCAGCCGAAGGGATATCCTTGCCTACTTGTGCAGCCACACACAGCTGATTACCGACATCCTAGCCGAATACCAGGCAGATCCTGATATTGCTCGCTCTATGCCGCCGCATCGAACAGTCGATCCCTTCCTGTTTACCACAACAGCGGACCTCGCCAGCATGATGTTTGCAGAGAACGTGGAACGATACGGACAGCGAATGGAGGAGAGTCTTCCATCCAGTATACCCTGTATCAGTGTCATCGGCTGTGTCTCCCGTATCGCAAACATCGACAGACCAGACCAAACATTGGCACGCCTGTGCATCTCTTATGCGCGATCATCGATCCTGAGGCTATCTGAACAGGCGTTTCAGCACAATGTTCCGACTCTTCGCGAAGAGCAGGCGGCTCAGTTCTACGAAGACATACGCTATTTGAACCTCAAGACGAACGAACTGCCCGTGAACGCCGTTCTGCTCTTGCTGGTGGCTGGCTCGTACGATGGCCACTATTGGACCGGTACGCATTCGACGCGTCTGTTACCCCTGCATGACGATGACTGCTGCCGTTCCTGGAAGTGCGCTCTCACGCCCACCGGACTTGCACATATAGCCGCGTGCAATGCGTTGGAGATCGTCACTCAGCTCGTACGCTGGGGAGGGGAGGAGGACGGTTCAGATCCCACCTTGGCTCTCAATTGCGCAGGCGGCGTTCTCAAGCCATGGGTGGAATACGCCGAGACGCCGGATGATCGGAACCCTCCCTCACCCGAATTCGTTTCCTTCCTCTCCTCCGTTGGACTTCAAGAATGGCTTCAGCCTGGAAGTCACTTCAATACTGGTCCGAGCGAAGGACCACATCACAGATTCCTCACCTCCACTTACTTCGGACATTGGTCGATGAAGGCACTGCAGAAGTTGGCACGAAACGTCGACTTCGCGGCGTATCGAGATCGAGTACAGCCTGTATCGACTCTCTTGCAACCATACCTGTCCGACAACGGCTTGGATGTATCCCACGAGGCGGAGAACCCTCAGGGCCTTCCAGCCTCACACACTGGATCGCCACCAAGGACTACCGTTGGGGTCAATGACACCGCGGAATTGAAGAGTGTTCTAGTAGAAGACCATGATGGCGGACTTCTGATGTCTATACCCGCTGAAGAGGGTAGGAACGTGTGGCTCATCGACCCATAAGAAGACATGTAAGCAACGGATATGGAAGTTGCCGCGGTTGATCATCAAATCCTCGCAGAGCCCTGCACCGCCGCTTGTACGAGCGCAACGACATTCCTTTGTACGACCGTGCTTTATCAATGTAATGACACGTACTGTGTGCTAGGACCGCTCAGAGGCAATCCGCGCATGCGCAGGCCAGAGTCGGATGCGTGCCGTGTGACTTCAAGACACATCGGGTAGTAGGCTGCACCGCGTCAGGTGCCGACGCCTCCTCTTTCAGGACATTCACTCTTGTCGTGGCCGAGTTGCCACGATCTTCGGGTGTTATCTTACATGGCACGTATCCCTTCCCGCTTTGATCTCTTCGATTCCCCGCCTGGGACCGTGGGAAAACGAAGATTCAGTCCAGAAGCGTATTGCGATTGACAAGACCGAATATGCTCATCAAGCTGCATTATCCTGTACAAACTTGACGGTTAGATCTCCATGAGGCTACGCGGCGATGACTCTTGCGAGTATGATAGGTGTGTTCAGGCGGTGCTCAGAGACGCCTCTTTGCATGACCCTCTTCACACAATGCGGGCCTTGCCAGTCCTAGGACTTTGATGCCTAAGATGCTCCCAATTACCACAGCACAAAAACCCCGCATGACCGAGGGCGGGAGTGCGTGTACGAATGTTCAATGTTGATTGATCGCGATTCGTGGTGCGGGCTGTGCCCGTGCGAAGCTAATACGCGGATAGCACCGAAGAGAGGACACCTATGTACTCACATGCATCCTTCAGGGCGCTCGACAGGCAGTGCCACGGGACAAGTGAACTTGAGGTACTTATACATTGTGATCCCCTCTCCCGCTTGGGCACTCACCCTGCGTAGTCACACCTCGCCGCTTGCAACTTCACCTCTCGCGGAGTTCGCCCTGACACTTGCAATGTCTCTAGAAGACACCAAATCCCAATACGCGAAGCCGGAGGACCTGATCTGGGACACGTATCTGAAGGCCGCTCAAAGGGAAGACGAGGCCCGACCAAAGAACTGGGAAGGAAACACAACTGGCATTCTGACCTTTGTGAGTCTTCGCCGTGCATGATTGTACACGCCCAGCTTGCTCAGTGGTACCATAGACAGGTCTATTCGCTGCGACGGTCGCTGCGTTCATCATCGAGAGTTACAAGGACCTATCTGCGGACCCTGGCAATCGAACGAACGTTCTTCTGGAGCATCTGATAGCCGCGATGGCGAACGCCTCAGCTCATAACCCTGTGACTGCTCCGCCTCAGGAGACATTCTCGGTCGCGCCCACCGCCATTGTCACCAACGCATTTTGGTTCTCGAGCTTGCTCATCGCACTCGTCTGCGCGCTGCTATCTACTCTAGTTCAAGAGTGGTCTCGGAACTACGCACAAGACATCAGTGGCAGTCATGTGGAACATGAGAACTTTCGCACCCGAGCTTTCAACCACATCTACATTCGCATGGGTGTCAATCGCTACGGAATGAATCAGTTCGTGTCGTGGATCGTGATGCTCATGCACGTCTCTGTTTTCTTCTTTGCATGCGGTCTTCTTGTCTTCCTCTTCCCCATCAACCACATCATAGCGAGCGTGGCTACTGGAGTCATCTCGATATTCATCATCATATATCTCCTCGCCAGTCTACTTCCGCTCATCGATCCAAGTTGTCCGTATCGAACCCCGCTTTCGTACATGATGGCTTTGGCATATTGGGTCACTCTTCGGGTACTGTCTATCTGCATGCCACGACTGTGGCCGCGGAATGAAAAGGCTATACGCATGGAGGATCCTCGGCGTCTCATCGAGAGACAGTATGCCGGATACCATTGGGAGTTCATGACTGACACTCGATTCGTCTTTGCTTGGGATTACACCTATGAACACATATCAGATGAATCCTTCGAAACGTTCCTGGTGGCGTTACCTTCCGTGTTCAATCGCCCGAGTATATGGAGTCGTTTGTGCTCCGATCTGGTCTTCATGCGGAGGTTGTGGCTGTATTTGGACGGGCTCCACCGCGGGACGAGGTCGAATCCGTCGTCGTTGCTCATTGAAACGGGAGTACTCAATCTGGTCGCTTGCCTCTCGGATAGAATGTATGCATTGGAGGTCGAGCAGTATGGGCAACGACTTGAGGAGGACGCATACACGAGCGCATACTGCCTGGACGTGCTCGGAAGCATCTCGCAGTTGACCGTGCTAGACGGCCCCTCTCAACTGTCGGCTTGCCTTTGCCTCGCCCATGCGCGCTGGTCCCTTCTGAAACGCTGTCAAGCAGCCTTCAAACAGAAGATGCCAGTCATCGATGTGGGAGGCGTACCAAAGTTCTTCCGCGAGGCATCCCGCAGTGGCTTCCGGCTGGAGGGCGATCGGCATGGCAGTCCTTGCGGCGTCCTCTTGCTGCTCATTTCCGGGTCTTACAGAAATCGTAGTTGGGAGCATAAGAGCACATCATCCCTGGTCCCGTTGCACGACGGAGACTGCTGCAGATCCTGGACGAGCATCCTCATGCCCAAAGGCCTGGGGCATATCGCGGCGTGCAACGCATTGTCCACGGTCGCGTACCTCCTACGGTCTAGCGAGGAGCAAAGGCGCAACGCGAGGGGGATGAAGGTGAACATCAACATTATCGCGGAGAAGTGGGATGCGTCATTCTACATGGACGATACCAGTCGAGGAATGCCGTCTCGCGAGTTTGTCGAAGTTCTCCATCTGGCGGGTCTGGAAGAATGGCTTGAACCTGACAGCGAGTACGTGACGGGACCGGCCGAAGGTCCTAACCGCCGGTTCTTGACGAACACCTTCCAGGGGAAGAGTTGTGTCCGAGCTTTGCGCAACCTAGCTCAAAAGGTGGACTTCGAGGCCTATCGTGCACGTCCCGTTCTCAGGTTCCCAATGCCTCAACTCCCACCGTCATCATCGGGCGCTGAACGTCCCATGTTGACGGTAGCTCCCGCTATGCCCACCCCGGCCCTGAACATATCTCCATATAACGTCTTCCCCTTGCCGGACGGGACTGTCGGGCGGTACGTCGTGCAGCAGGAGTCGCCTACGCGGACGAATGCAAGGCTTGATACGCGCCAAAGCCCCTCGTCAGGTTCTGGACGCGATAATGATGGTGTCTTCTTGGTTGACGCCGTAAGGCAGACACACCCCGACGATGATCCGAGCCAGCAAGAGGACGCGCTTAGCGGGTCTTCCGACCCAAGGACTCTCCGGCGCATCTCTCGCCGGTTGGGTACCGTGTATACCCGATACGATCCGGACATCACGCACGACGGCATACAACCGCGGTCGCCGTATGCCAACGAGGATCTCGAGCTGGATACGCTCGTACCGTTATTGGCCGGTGCTGGCTCTCCGCAGGGAGCCGAGGCGGATTGGGGCGTAGGACATGGGTCCCCTAGGCTCATGTCAGTCGCTATCATAGACGACCGGCTGCATGTCGGTACATTACCTGGAGATGTTGAGGCCGCTGCCGCCACCGCGAGTGGTTCGTTCTTGCAGAGAGGATGGGGAGAATATTGGAAATAGATGATATTGAGGGTTTGTACCGTACAACAACTGTAGAATTGATGTTGCGAATCCTGTATCTTTCCCTAAGCGAGGTCTGAACAGCACATCTTGCGAACATATATATGTGGCATGAGTTTGGGAGAAATCCTGGCGTAGACGTGGCTGCTCGTAGTCAAGCGGCGCCCATGAGTGGTCTCGCGAACGCGCATCGCCGACGTCGGCCCGGGCGTCCGATGATCTCTCGTGGTCGCGCATACTGACCTTCGTCTCCTACTCAACTCCTACGTCCATCATCGTTGCGCGTACTTGCTATACGCAATGGCTGAAGCAACCCAGGCTCGATATGATAATCCGGAGGACGTCATATGGGATACGTACCTGAAAGCATCCAAGCACGAAGACGAGACCCGCCCGAAGAATTGGGAAGGAAGTACAACCGGCATCCTAACTTTCGTACGTGCGGATGCACCCCTAGACCGAGGCGAACCTGACATCATTACTAAAGACCGGTCTGTTTGCTGCAACCGTTGCGGCCTTCATCATCGAAAGCTACAAGTTACTCTCACCGGACCCCAGCGACCGGACGAACGCGCTGCTAGAGCAGCTTTTCATCGCGATGGCGAACACCTCCTCAAACAGTCCAGTGATTGTCCCAGCTACCGAACCCTTTTCCGTTCCAATATCTGCCACCATTACCAACTCTTTCTGGTTCTCTAGCTTACTCATCTCCCTCATATGTGCCATGCTGTCGACCCTCGTTCAAGAGTGGTCTCGAAACTACGTACAGGACATCAACAGGCATACCGTGCTCCACGAGAGCTTGCGAGATCGCGCGTTCAATCACATATACATACGGATGGGCGTCGATCGTTATGGGATGGACCAGTTCGTGTCCTGGATAGTCGCTTTGGTGCAGCTCGCCGTAGTCCTCTTCGCCTGCGGGCTCGTTGTCTTCCTCTTTTCCATCAACTCCGCCGTCGCCGCCGTCTCCAGTGCCGTTCTCGGGACATCCCTCGTCATATATGTATTCGTCAGCCTGCTTCCCTTGTCGGATAGGAGCTGCCCTTATCGGACGCCAGTCTCGTACATCATGGCATTTCTATACTATGTCGGGTTTTGGTGCATGTTCATGATTCTACGAATACCATGGGACGCCGGGAGCGATTTCCGCAACATTTTGACGAGAGAACACTCGGGGTTTGCATTGGACTTTCTAACGGACGAACGTTCGAGCTTCATGTGGGAACACACGATCCCGCATGTCGGGGCAGCGAACAGCCTGCTGTTTCTCAAAGGCTTGTCTTCTCTCATCGGCTTGCACAAGGACCACGCAGCCTTTCGAAGTCGTCTATGTGCAGACCCGCGTTTCATCTATGACATTCTTCGAAGCCTCCTGTCTGAGCAATTTAGCCTGGAAAAGGACGGTCACCGGACATCAGCGTCCGCGGTGGACCCCTGGATATACAGGCTGATAGCCAAGCTCTCGGAGAGGATGTTTGTGCTGGAGGTAGAACATCATGGAGAACACCTTGAGATCCCGCATACAAGCTCGATGCTTCTGAAGGCGATTGGCGACGTCCTGCGGATAGCCGAGCTCAAAGGGCCCTCACACCTTTTTGCTCAATGCTGCCTCGCGTATGTGCGACGGAGCCTCTTGGTTCTCAGCTCCAGAGCGTACGAGAAGAACATGGATGTTGTACAGGACAGCAAGGTGTGGTATCTCTTCAATGACTTATCGTCTCATGACTTCCGGCTAGGCAACCACCATCCGATAGGCATTCTTCTGTTGCTCATAACTGGAAGCTATAGCCGGTCCGAGCAGTGGGGAAACTCGCACGAGTCATGTTTAGTTCCCTTGCACAAGGACTCCTGTTGTGCAGACTGGCGGCATGCTCTGACTCGGAATGGTCTCGCACATGTAGCGGCGTGTAACGCGCTCTCGCTCGTCGCATTCATACTGGATTCTCCAGATGACCAAAGAACTCACCCTGACGAATTCCTCCTTCGGACGATCTGGGGTCTAGAGGGGTGGGATAAGATGCTCAAGATGCCGCAGGAGGAAAAGCGTATGCCTTCGACCGAGTTCGTCGCCCTTTTACGCTTGGCAGGCCTAGACGAATGGATGGAACCCGGGAGCTCGTTTGACTCTAAGCCGCGAGAAGGTCCCCATCGCGGGTTTCTCACTCGTACGCCGCTGGGTAAAGAGATCCCCGACGTCCTTCGGGCTCTCGCACGGCACGTAGACTTTGCTGCATATCGCGAGCGACCACCGACGCCGCCGCCCGATGCACTACACGTGCCGAATCCTGACTCAATCTTCTTGAATGGGCACAACACCACGCCAGATAAAGCAGGCAATATGGCCTGGTTCGCAGAAGTCCCCACTATAGAGGATGACGGGGTCTTCATACCGGCAGATTACGAGACGATGGACATAGATCTGTCTGATCACTCTGACAGCCAGGTTAACGCCATCATGCTCGACCGGGCTCCTTTGGAGAGACTCGAGGCTCTACTGCATTGGGCCAAGACGGGCGAAGGGATGGGGCCCTCTACCGCACCGGCGCTGAGGTCTGATCCACGCAGCAGTAGAGATATCCCTGATGAGACGGCCGACGAGAAACAACAACCAAGCCAGCCCATGGAGATCCAAGAAGTCGTTCATCCGGACACTGGTCGCCCCGCTACACCGGCGTTACGGGAAGTTGTTGTAGACAACGACCATGATGGACTCGAAAAGGAGGCGCACACTGCAGAGGATGACTATCATGCAAATGTCCTCAGGGCTCTCATGCGGCGCGACAGCATGTAAACATACCCCCAAACGCCTGTAGAAAGCTGGTTTATGCCATATGTGGGGAATTTTACTTTATTGTAACGACAAGCATGTCATGTACCGTATCAAAATTCTCGCAGATATGTATAGAACGCCCGAACATGGGCGATTGGGCAATAAAGCTCTGTCATATCGAGTAGCTACCTGGTAGTTTTATTAGAAAATACAGATGAAACACATCAGGGTCACACGCACGTTATATAGTCTGCCAATTTCGTCGCCTTCCCTGGGTCTTACCCGCAGGTCCACGCTACAAGCTCGTCATACAGCTGCCCCAATGTTCCCTCGCTCCATAGCTTCTAGCCCGCACTTCCTCCAAACGGCTGTGCATGAGCATCGAGGTTTAGACGTGTACAACAGCAAGTCAAGCGAAGAACCACCTAAACCTGGACCTGCATCAATCAAACCGAGAGCCCTTACATTGTCCCCGATGACCTGTGTATCCTCACACGCGCTCTCCGAGTAAGTTCACCAGCACCTCCGCTAGACCTCTTTCCAGTAACGCACGCCGTCCTCATCATCCCAGACAGTAATGTGCGGGCGCCAGCATGGCCCAGACGGTGAGTGACGAGGAGGCCCCGGCAACGAAGATGACAATGTCATGATGGTGGTAGTAGTTCAAACACTCAGATCAAGATCTCGACACCGCCAACGCCGGTGACGCGTGCCTGCAGCCGTCTTGATCGTCGGCTTTCGCGGCGTCTGAGCAGCCGGCCGACTTCCTTTATACCCTCATCATCATCCGAGCTGCTTCCACCCAGACATCCTACGCGATGTCAGTACTGCCAGTCCCAGATGGGCACCACTACGAAAAGCCCGGTGATTTCATATGGGACACCTATCTTAAGGCCGCTAAAGCCGAAGACGAAGTGCGGCCGAAGAACTGGGAAGGCAGTACGACCGGCATCTTGACCTTTGTGCGTTTGACCACCTCGATTTAGATCATCATGCTAGATAGCTGACACGAGATCTTGTAGACTGGTCTCTTCGCTGCTACAGTCGCGACTTTCATAGTCGAGAGCTACGCATTGCTATCTCCAGATCCCAGTGACCGCACGAACGCACTCCTCGAACAGCTCTTCGTCGCAATGGCCAATGCATCCTCGCAAGCACCCATAACGATACCGCCTGTAGAAGCATTCTCTGCTCCTCCAACGGCTGTCGTTACCAACGTGTTCTGGTTCTCAAGCCTGCTCATAGCACTCATCTGCGCGCTCCTAGCAACTCTAGTCCAGGAATGGTCACGCGCCTATGTGCAAGACATCAACAGACGTCAGGTCTTCCACGACGACATACGAACCCGCGCCCTCAATCACATCTTCATACGCATGGGTGTCAACCGTTACGGGATGGACCAGTTCGTGTCGTGGATCGTAGCGCTCATGCATCTTTCCGTCCTTCTGTTTGCCTGTGGCCTCCTAGCCTTTCTCTTCCCTATAGATCATATCGTCGCTGGCTTTGCCACGGGCGTCATAGCAGTATTTCTGCTCATATATAATGCGGCGAGCATGATCCCTCTTCTCGATAAGAGCTGTCCGTATCGGACGCCCGCTTCGTACATGATGGCATTCGCCTGTTGGCTTCTTCTGCACATCCCGCTTCCTACTACAGGGTCATCTGCAGGTCCTGCTTTGCCCACATCACGCTTACAAGTCACACTACACGACATCATCACGCGGAAACATCCAGACGAGGCATTCATATCCCGCCCGCACTCCCAATTCATCTGGGAGAGCACGTACCCGCACATAGACCAAGGCAACGATGCACTGTTTCTTACCGATTTACCCTCGTTCATCACCATGCACGTCCCGGAAGACTTCGACGTCCTCCTATCGCGCATGTTCGCGAACTTCGATCTCTCTGAGACGTTGTCGTCCTTTTTCCTTCGATTATACCGCGAAGGCTCCTCGTCGCTTTCGGCGCCCATTGACTCCGAGATACTGCGACTGGTGATGCTCCTGGGCAAGATCACATGCGACCTGGAAGGAGCACATTACCGTGATGATGATGGCAAAGGTCTCAACGCTCACTTTCGCGTGGTCTACTGGATGGGCCTGCATTACCGTCAAAGCGCGAACATCATCTCCCGCATCGCAGACGCCAACGGCCCTTCATCCCTCTCCGCATCAGCATGTCTCACATCCGTGCGATGGTCTCTGATCGGGCTGTGCTTTCGGGTGCTGGAAAACAAGATCCCAATCCCGGACGAAGAAGAGGTGCGCAAGGTCGTGCGGCTCACCAGCTCGCCCGTCGAGGCGACGCTCAGCCTCGCTCCGCACACGCTTTTACTACTCTTCGCCGCCGGAACATATCCCGACTTCAATGGTTCGTGGTATCGCACGGGCGGGACGACGCTGCTTCCTCTACACGACGACGACTGTTGCACGAACTGGCGACATACGCTCGACGGCGGAATGAAGGGTCTGGCGCATATGGCCGCATGCAACCTGCTGACGATGATAGCGCGTATCTTTGAGTCCACCACCGAACAGAGAGACCACGCAACCAGCCTCTTCACCGACCTCAGCCAGAACTTCAGAGACTGGGTCCCCACATACTCGCTCACGTTCCGCCTTCTACGAGACACCGGCAAGCGGAAGCCTCCATCAGAGGCCTTCGTATCCATGCTACATTCCGCAGGACTCGATGCGTGGCTGGAGCCCGGAAGTTCGTTCGAGTATACGCCGCCTACTGGACTGGAATTGGGTCTGGATGACGGTGGGAATGATGTCTTCGGCAGTAGCTGTTCGCGGGTTCTGCGCGACCTCGTGCAGTGCGTTGATGTCGAAACATATCGTCCGGGGCGGGCGCGGTACCCGTCGTCAACTCAACCGTCCTCGCCGGTGCTTCATCGTGTGCCACGGGATGGGGTACTGGGGCTCGAAAGAGACACAGCTTGTGGCCGCGGGACTTGAATCCGTCACATCCAGGCACGTGATCATTTTCAGGCG